GCACTGATACAAAGTATCCGCTTGCGGTTTTGAGTTAAGCGCTGCCACCTGTTGCCAATCATTAGAGCGTCCGCTTGCGGTTTCACTTCCCTTTTTCTCCGCTTGTGCCTGGGCGGCGAAATTGACTTAGGTGAAGCTGAGCAGTGCCTTTGCCGTACCAGCCATGCTGGCTGAATCTGACACTGGGGACTTCAATGGTCTGATAAATTCCTCCTGAAGATTTATATCCAAGTATTCTTTTAGAATAGCTAGCTCCTTGGTAGACATAGGATAGTGTCACTTAGCTGGGTGCTTTGCCCCAGGTTTCAGATCAATCGTGCAAACACATTCCCAGTGAGGAGGAAGTGCAGTAGTTTCTTGCCCCCGAAAGACATCTGTGACATCAGCATACTTGGCAGGCAGCTCCACCTCCCTGCTTGGATGCTTGCACGGGTGCCGAGGAGAGCATAGCTGTTCGCCCCCTGTGGTGCTGGCAATATGGGGAGGAGAAAGAGAATGTCCCCGTTGCCCAATATACTGTAAGGTTATGGAGCTGTAGTCATGCGGTGCCTAGCACTACGGCTACTTGTAAGAGGCTGTAATGTAAAAGGGCAGGAACTTTGTTTGTCTGTTGATAGTTAACTGCAACGGAGTTGTACAACGCACAATGGGGCCTACCTACTTCCATGGGTCTTAGCAGGTCTACTGTCAGTAGCTGTAATCCCTGCACCGCTTCCACATCAATGAAGTTCGTGGTAGCCTCAGAATTGATAAGAGCTTCCAGCTCTACCTTGCTACCAGATTCTTAAGGTAACAGGGGTAAAGAAAAATGCTTGCCTGTTCTCTTCAGAATGAGCTCTCCTTATTTGCTGGATAGCCCCCCTTGCAAGCTCTTGTGAGGGAGGCCGGTGAAGTTTCCCTGGTTTGTTGCGGTGGAAGAAACTGGGCACTTGCTGGTGGTTGTTCTGAGGATCTAGCCCCTGTCATTGGATTTCCTGCCAGCCACACTCTGCCAGCCACCCTGAGGCTCCACAGTAAAAACAGAGACCCAGTGTCAAGTCCACGATGTCCAACTCTCAGTTCTGAAGCATTCTCACACAACCAGGCTTGG